ACAAGCTTTCAATTATCAAGAGCGTGCTTATGCCGAAACGGACGCGGCAACCGGAGAGACGAAACAATGAAATGCATCCGAAAGAAGTTCGTGCGCTTAGTTCGTATTTGGGTTTCAATCTGCCAGCATTGAATTTAATGCACCCGAGAAAATTGAAAAACCAAACCTCTAAACAAAAGAGTGATTATTCAACCAAGCTAAAAAAAATCCCCGTATGGACGTTCACTTGATTGTTGCCGAATTTATTCTCTTATGATATTTAGTTTTGAGAAAAGCTATGAATATTTTTCTCTACTATTTCCGACACTGAAGGTTGAAATGCAAATAAGTTTCTATGAATATATCAAAGAAAAATTTGCATTGCTATTCGAAGAAGCCATCTGGCGATTTTTGGATTTTCGTACGGTGTTTCTCCTTAGCACGGCAGTATTATGACTGCATGTGTATCAAGGGGCGTAGCGTGCTTTGCGATATATCGATTGATCGGCCTTTAAACCTATGGAAAAGGATCGATAAACAGGGTGTTCGCAGCGAACACCTTTATAATCGATTCTTTACCATGGGTTTAAATGGTATAACAATAGATATATCGCAAATCACGCCACGCCACTGATGTGTATCGTTGAATCCTGGACAAATATCGCCGCAAGAATTACCAAGTGAGCGGATGTTCACTCACATCCTACCCAAAGTTACGAGTTGTTAACGAACGGCGTGGAACACTAAAAGTGCGAACAATTCAACGAGTCGTTGAAGAATCTATCCGATAACATTTTAAAATTACTTAGGCATGATATAAGCCAGGAAACAAAAATAACGAAACGATTTACCCGAATTCTTCCGAATTTTTCTTCACTTTAAACAAATGTGAACTTTTCAAAGTTTATTTTAATTAAATGCACGTTTTCTCGAGCACGACACCGGTATTAATGTATAATGTATGTAAGCAAATCTTCCTTAAATCGGTGTATCTCACTCAAATTGCCGTCCATGAATGTGCACGAACGACTGTAATAAGTTTTTAATTTCACATAGTCTAAAAATATGTGAAATGTGATAACAGAAAACAAGGGGAAAAAGTTAGCCATTCGGTAGTAACGAAAATGTGAAAGTAAAAGTAATATTCATGCATGGAAAAGTCGCGGTTCTTGCAGCTGCACAGTGCCGGGGTGCGATACATACACAAACCAACCTGTTGGCGCCTTCAGCACCTGTTGATTCCCATCGCGTATGAAAAGAAGTATGTTTTAATTTTGAAGGGGTTTTATATGTCCGTATCTATGTTGATTGTTAATGCGCTACTGACTGCTTGATGAGTTTGTCGAGCTTCGTGCTTTTTTGTGTCTCACCGAAGTTACGTCACGTGTAACGATTACGCTTGCATGCGCGTTAGTAGTAGGATGAGAAATTTTCAGCGTGGCGTAATTAAGCAGTACTTGATTGCTTGTAACTCAAAATTACGATTTGTCACGCACGTATACCATTTCTTTTCCGAACTAAATTAGTCCTTTTATTAAGAGGATAGTCGCAATTTTCTTTTGAAATAATTATTCTTGTCATTTTTTTAAGTGGCGATATTGATTAATTAACAAGTTTTCGCAAAAACACAACAACGAATCTCATGAAAAGTCCATTAACTGCCCCTGATCTCACGCTTACCGCAAAATCTACAGGTTAACCCCTCTCTCACTGACCTCTCCCGTATCGGTTACGCACTTTTAGGGAGTAGGAAGAAGAATAAAAAAATCCCATCGTCTTATCGTTTCTCGACATGAAATGTGAGTAATGAAAACCCACACAGGAGTTAAATGCAGGTTGGCGAATTATTCACCGTTACTGTTATTACTACATATTCCGATTGTGGTTTTTACATTTGAACACAAATCTTTCAAACATTCATGAGTTTTTTCTTTTTTCAGGTTGAGTCCTAAATGGAGCTGAACTCCAATCACACGCAAACCCCGGAAACCCGTCTCATAAGCGTCAGCAGTGTTAGTGGGTAAGTTTTCTCTCCTTGATAACGTGTAAAACATGTTCCAGTAACCGATTTTACGGAAAATATTGTTAACTTATTGTGCCAGTTAAATAGATTCTTCGAGACAACGAACTCGAACCGATAAAATCGACTTGATCTCTTAGGAGGTTTCTCGATCTTTAGTCTTCGTTTACGCAACAGCATCACACGCAAGCTAGTTTTAAACCCTCTGCAATGAGCATAGAATTGATTCATTTTTGGAGAAGTTAATTCGGTTCTACGATGCCTGTAACAACATGCGCGCCTTCATTTTGGCAGGTAGACAACCCCAGCTTCTACGTGACGAAATAGTGGTATCCTGCAGTCTGATTGTTGAAATTCATGTCGGCACGACAATAATCGAAAATCGAAGTACTGATATCGAAACTGCACTCGAATGCGATGTTTTCTCTCTAAAAAACCACGCCCTTATTATGTTGAATTTCTTTGTTAAAATTGGTAAGTGAGTGCTGTAGTCTCCTGACAACAGAATTGCGATCTCAAAATTGGAGAAAAATAACGAATAGCTGAAAAAATGGAACCAATTGATGCGATACATCGCATGCCGTTCTGATACAAATTATGGCGTCCATCGAATCACCTTAACAAACTCTCCGTTTCTTTCAACTTTCGGCGTGGATTCGGGATTTAACGCGGGGAGCTGGCTCCGATGGGAAAAATCCGTCAAAGCGGAAGGAGAGCTCTTTCTCGGCGGAATTCTGTTTCCTGCCAAGAGTGACAACGCAGACAAATAGTGAAAGTAATCAATCTCTAATGTGGGTCCATGATCTGCGTCCGTCTCTCTTGCTGCCGGCGCACAGTGGATCGAGTCAATTAGAGAGGTCGGATATGAAATTTTTGACTAAAACTGGAAATTTCGATGTTTATTTCGTCCCGTTTTAAATTTCAGGGGGTGCACCTAGTAGGAAAATTCACGAGGAAACTAATGAAGCCACTTTTAGAACCTCAAAGTTTTGTATAAACGGAGTATTAAGCGTTTAAATTTTCCAAATTTTGTCCGACCTCTCCCATTTACTTGGTCCAGTGTGCAGCGCGGCGTCGAAAGTCGACACCGCAGGACCCTTCCCGCTCTCATCTTTGCTCCCAGTTCCTAATGCTGCAACCAGGAACCAGGCGCCTGCTCCACGCCATGCCGTGGTGAACCAGAACCACGACGAGATCATTACCGTTACTGAAACGCCCCCGTCATTCGGCGGCGCCATCATTCGCCCAGGAATCGCTAAGGGGTCCAAGGTCCCTGTCGCCCGTTGTCTCCTTATGCCATGGTGTTCAGAACGGGGAAAACCGGGATTCATCAGGGAATGAAAATTTACAGGGAAAATCAGGGAGTCCGCGCCAGAAACCGGGAATCTCTTCTTCTACCGCTTAGGGATCCGCATTTCGTTTTCAAATGGAGAATGGCTGCTCTTTTAATGTGGCGCTGCGAAACCCAATCGTTTGCGTGCGTTTCTCAATCAGACGAAATCGATTCCAATCGAGTCTCCTACCGAGGATGCGCCCGGTAGACCTCCCCGGTAAAGTTTACATGATGTGCCCCAAGATCCATGGCTCTATGAAAGGCCCAAGACAAAACTTGAAAACTTCTGCAAGAGCGGCATAGACACGGCATTACGCTCCTTTTATAGGCATTCTGATTTGTCCTGTAGCGGTGCGGTGTAGTAGCTCCAAGCTACCGCATTCCTGGCAGTATCCAAACCGAAAGCTCAAAAAGTGTCCAAGATCATTTTTACCTTGTTTTTTCATGGTCTGTCTTCTAGACTTTACATTCTACCAACATTTATTTTTCCGTTGTATAAGAGAGGCGTGTAAAGGAGGAACTCTCAAGCGCTCCCCACTAAACGAACCTTTTCCTTGTCCCCGTCCTGCGCATACCAAGTGTTGAGTTTATGAAAGTCAGCGCGCCTTCATTATTTAGTGTATGCAATTTAGACAACCGAGGAGCATGTTTAGTTGCATCCAGGGGTTTAGTTTGCGCACGGTCGCGACACGCATCCCAGGGTTCTATTCTTGTAAAACTATCACAGTCTTAATTTGTACGTACTCGTAGTGTAGGTAATTGGACTACATTTTTTCCACCTTTTCCTTCTCTTTGTCTTCTTCTCCTGCTTTCTTCTTCTCCTGCTTTCTTTTCTTCCTATTTGTCCTCTTCTCCTGATTTCTCTCTCTTCTCTCTCCCTCTCTCTCCCTCTCTCCCTCCCCCTCTCTCTTTTTGTCCCCCTTCACATCCTCTTTTTCCTCGTCTTTCGATTCTCTTCGTAAGTCAGAAAATCGTGTTGAAAGACCCACGTCTGCCAGATCATGCTGCCGTGCAAAGGAAGAACGCCGTATGAACATTCAAGAGTTGCCAAATTTCCTTCCATAAAATGTTAATTTTTGAGGAAAACTATGAATATTTTTCCTTGAAATTTTCAGACGCTCATTGGCGGATCTAGCAATTTGGCAACGCCGGATTTCCTCCATTTAAACCTATGGAAATGTATCGATTCTTGGAGGGGCCAGGTGCTCCGTCAAGAATCGATTATTTAGCATGAGTTTAAATGGAGGAAATCCAGTGTTGCCAAATTGCTGGGTCCGCCTCTGCAGACGCTCCAGATCGAATTCCAAGCAAAATTATCCTGGAAATCGGTAGAAAAACATCCTAAAATTTTCCCGAAAATTAGTGATGTGCCAGGGGGAATTTGGCAACGCCTGAAGGCTCATACGGCGTTCTTCCTTAGCTCGACAGCATGTTCAACGTATCCGTATCCATGGACAGTTCGGCAACATCCTCGCAATACCGTGGTAATTCCCGCGCACCTGCGGGGGAGGGGATCAGGGGCCATGGTCAAGGGGGGGGGGGGCTCCTGACTGGTCCTGGGACTAGGTTACGCTCGGTACCGCTCGCCGAATTACGCGCACCTCGACCACTTCAGTGTCTCGTGCGCCGCGTGACCGCTAACGTCTTAACGTCCTAACGTCCCAGCGTCGTAGCCCCGCTTCGAGTTCTTTACGTGCGTGCGTCAGCGATTTCCGTTTTTCGGCGTCTTGGTGATTTTCAGTAGTGCATGTGTGTGTGTACGTGCTCCCCCGAATTTCTTCGTTTAGTACGTCGGTGTGAAAATTGATTTGTGCAACTGATTAGTGCGAAAAACTTCGGATCCTCTCTCTTTTTTAAAGAGTATTTTTTTTTTTAAAATCTTCGCTCGCTCATTTTGACTCAGACTTTAAAATAGGGAGTGTTTTTCGAGAGGAAAGGTTTTAATCGACCTGACGGTAATGATTTGCTCATTTTGTACTGAAACGGCGTTTTGAAGAAGATTTGGATTTCATTTTGCAAAAAGAAACCAGGAGCATTACAATGTTGCAAATCCATTTGCCATTGTAATATAACTATTGAAATCCTGAAAAAATAAAGAATTTGCATGGTAATTTTGTCTTAAATTTACAGTTTTTAGCGAGTAAAATAGAAGATGTTTATAGATAATCAGGTTTTTCTCCCAAGACAAAAGAAGTTGCACAATCTTAGCAACATCGAAATGCTCCTGGTTCCTCTTTGCAAAGTGCAATCCATTTGTAAGTTGACAATTTCAGTAGGCCGAAAAAAATCTCAATTCCGAGTATTGTCAACCTGTAAGGTGCAGAAATTAGCGATTGAGGATATGAGCTGGAAAGCACAGAACTAAAAAATGAACCCTTTTGGTTTGGATGCATGTTGATACATGTTATTTCAGGACCACGATTGAGGCCTTTCTAGGGACCAAAACACCCATCATTTAAAGGCGTAAAAATCCTTAAAATGTTAAATTTACTTGGTCATTGACACTCTAAAAAGGGTGCTGAGAAAAAGCAATCACTAATCATGCTCAATTCCGAAGCATACCCAGGCTTGTATTGAGGCAGATGATAAGCGAGCAATGATAATTACAAGGACGTGGGTCAAAGCCTCCGTCATGGTAAAACAGGAGCAAATACTCAATCACTAATACCTTCACCAAAGAAACATGTACACATACAGCTTGAAAGTTATTCTTTTAATACCTCTTTTATACAGTGGTTACCTTAAGTGGGTACTTTATCTACTTTCACTGGGTTTCGTTTAGATTTTTTACATTCGTTTTCTCAAGAAGCGGGTGTAGGTACGTGATTCTCAGCATACTCAGACCAGTAGCGTGGTATGATTTGCGAAATATCGATCGATTGGACAATGGAATCTATGGAAAGAATCGATTAACCAGATGTCCGCGACGAACACCTTAATACTCGATTCTTTATCATAGATTCAAATTGGGGAAATGGCGATGATAGATTGTTCATGCCTCGCCACTGAATCGTACGATAGGATCTAACTTGGTAACTGGGAAGGGTGTAAATCTTCCTCAGACCTGCGCGCATGAAAAATAATGGTCCCTCATGGCTATCATACTATTTGACTGTAGACGGTTGCTTGTGTGTAGCTACTTCGTAAGAGGAAATCAAATAGGCGGTGGCAATCTCCAGTGTTGATTATGTACGTCTTGTAAATCTACTAATACTATACATATGGTTTACTTTATCAAGAGTATAGGGCTGGCTACCATATCGGAGAGTCAATCGGTAAGACTCACCCTGAATGAGCTTAACTGGATTTTAAGCAGTCTGATTTCCTCCCTTGTTTCAGTTTTTATTGCAAAGAAAGTAAACAATGTAGTGTCATAAAACTTTCTTTGAAATTCCCCCAAATTACAAAGAAAATGCTCACAAAATATCAAGGTAGAATGTTACGTAGCTCTCTGTTGTTAGGTGGAATCTAGTCAGATCCGTGCAACTGTTGACGTGTTGGTGGCTCAACACTTAAAATTTGGCCTAAAATTTTTTCTCCTTTAACATTTTTAACCAAGTAGTTAGGTAAATTCTTGTGAAATCTTAGCTATCGTTCAGGAGACGTTTTTGTGCGCTAGGAAAAAAGTCTCTCAGATCTAGAGTGCCGACTCTTAAAAACTTCAACAAGAAAAAAACGCTTTTGATTCAATCGGATTTCAGTTTGAATCAAAGAGAAGTCCGCTTAAATTATGAGACTTGACTTTCGATTCAAGCAAAAATCCGATTGAATCAAGAGTACTTTTTCTTGTTCAATTTTTTCAGAGTCTGGACTCTGGATCTAAGAGATTTCTTTTTTTCTCGTGTGCATTTCGCACCTCCGTCAAATTTGAAATAATGCTCTATCATCTGGAATATTACCACGCCTATGTACTGAGTAAGAGAAGAATAGCGCACAAGTACGTTTTTCATTTTTTCTCTTTTGGGCGTAATGTCCTATTGAATGCAAATTCGGTGACCTTCGTATTCGGTATTTTCAGCATGTAGACTTCTCACCGGAAGGAAATTGCCCCCAAGTATGAGTTTCTAAAGTATGATCGTTTTATTTTAGTTAGAATTTTGCGCAAGAAATCTTGAAAAATACAGAATGACTTTTTCCTTGAGGTTAACACACCCCTGCCCCGTGGCCCGCTATATCTTCAAGACAATTTGAAAGATTTTGGATTGTCTAAGGTATCGTAAAGACGATCACTCCTTTTTTTCGGGTCATTTTTTGGGAGAGTGGACACGGCAGCAGGTTTTTTCCGGGATCATAAATTGTTTTTAATCATATCTCACAACTTTCCTCTCGACGGATGTAAAAAATGTTGAACATAAACTTTGTAAATCAGTTGGTATGTTTCATATGAACGGAATAAAATGAAGAACGAAACTCTTAACCGCAATCTAAACACGTGTTCGTCCACGATATAGAGACGTATGTTTGCAAGTGATAGATTGAAAAAGAAGAAAAAAAAAGCGATAACGTCTCTGGACCACAAGACTCGGTTAAGAATTATATTAAATTTTGCAATTTGGAGCTACAGTTTCTGGCTCTGTTTAAAAGCAACGTATGCACATAGGATTTGCGTGCTAACATAGTTCCTTTTAGCATTAATGTACTTTCTTGGTTTTATCATCATTCATAACCCCAAAGCATCATAGCCTCGAAATTTCAAATGGGTCAGTTGCGCTGGTCCTAAAATCGCATTTTGATTATTGATTCTTGTAAATTAGCTAAAAATAATAAGATCTGTCCGATCAGCAACTTTCTACGTTCAATATTAGCCGAGATACCGCCCTTTGAAAAGTCGAATTTTTGACGTCATCCACCGGGGTAGTGAACCCTTGGTTTCCTCCATGATGCTTTCATCAGTCGGTGTGACGCACATTAGCCCCGGTTATTTAATTTGACAGTCGGATTAAAGCAAGGTGGAAGAAACCAAGCGTGTCCCACTGTCCCTATACCGCGATGGATGATGTCAAAAACCCGACTTTTCAAAGGGTAATAACTGGGTTAATATTGAGCGCAGAAAGTTGCTGTTTGGACAGATCTTATTATTTTTAGCTTATCCACGAGAATTAAGCATTAAAACACGATTCTGTGACCAGCGCCAATGACCCATGAAAGCTTTACTGCGGTTTCGCCCTGTCGTTATCAAATCTCATGTTATTTTATGGTTTTCCAGTTTTAATAAAAGAACCTCAGGTGCCTGGTTCCTTATAGATGGTAACAAGAAAAATCTTATGTGCTGCAACCCCCATTCATACAGTTATTTCGTCAAGTACACATACGTACAAAAAAATCCTCAATAAAATAGGGCACTAGTAGGAAAATGAGCTATTCGACTATTTTAACTTTTGCGTAGCTAAAATCGCATAGCCGTAGAAATGCAGGCAATAATTATACCATGTTATGACAACTAGTGGTTCAATAATCTTCGAACTTCTAATTATCCACAGCTGTTACATCAGTCTGCGAGTTCATTATTCTTGTGGTAGAGTCCAAACTCTTATTTTTCTGAAACCGAATTCTGGTTGCTCGTCAGTTCAAAGGCCAAAGCCTAGGAGCCTTTGAGAGCACCCTCTTCCAGCAGAGTCCACTTTGCCCGCTGATCGGAACCGGTTATTTTGTTTTATTGTAATTCCCGATGTACACGCTTTCGGTATCCAGGTGCGGTAGAGAATCTCAAAGTCCGCAAGAGAAGGTAATTCCACCTTCTCGAACTATGCTTTCAGTTCCCCGGAATCGTTGTTACTTTTGTAACGATCGGTCAAAGATCATCATTGTTTGGGGTTTCTCTCCCACTAGGTCTGATAAGTTAACTTTAGATCCTTGGGTTGGCTACTGTCTTCTTTCACCTTAATTTCCCCTTATCAATATTATTTGTCGCCATATCGACAATATTATCATCGCAAATCGGATGCCTTAGTTTACTCATGTCCCTTAATTTACTCTTATCAGTATTAATTAGCATCAAAGACAAGGAGCCTTTGAGAGCACCCTCCTCCAGGAAAGTCCACTTTGCCCGCTGATCGAAACCGGTTTTTTTTTGTTTTATTGCGTGATTCCCAAATTCACCAAGTAACCAAATTACCAAGTTAACCAAGTTGTCTTCAGTATTACTGTCGCGATCGAGAAATCGATGTTGCAAGGGTAGATCAGTCGTCAATCGACTTCCTGCAAGAATAATAATAGTGTGTGAGAAATGATTCGCACGCGGTTCCTTTTGCATTTTGTCAGGGCTCTCCGGTTTTTTTGTCATGGGAACGGAGTTCCCCATGATATTAGAATCGTTCCGTTGCTCTCGCTATGGAATTCCCTATACCTCTGCGACCTTGAGCGTTTCGCCCAGTCTCCGATTTTTGGTTGATTTTCCGATGTATCAAAAACCGTTGTATTTTTTAGCCAATCATGTCTCTACGTCAAGTTGTGTTGATTGCTAAAATTCGCTTTCAGCGAGTTTTTTTCCACCTTGAGATGTCGTGTCTGACTGGTAAATCTGCGCAGAACCACGAAGTTCCGTTTTTAGGCAAATTCTTTTTTTTGGGAGGTTCTGATTGGTTATTTTTCGCCATCAGTTTTCTGTTCGTTGGTGCAAAAGATCGCCTACCTCGTTGCTCTTGAGAAGCCGCCATTATCCCACCTCAAATTTTAAACATAGATATAAAGAAATAATAACCATCGTACAAGGTGGAAAATTGCTCTGGAGGACCCGTTACGGATATATGAGCCAAAATCAGAACTCGATTGATGGATTTAATCCATGAATACAGAAATATTGCCTGAGCTTACTGCCGCGATCGCAAATGCCTGTTGATATGAACCTCGTGACACATGACAGCATAGGTAAACAATGTCTCACAGAGTAATGCGGTTGATCCGTTGTGTCTTATCACGCCAGTGGCCGAACCGTTGAAATCTCAAGGACGTCTTT